GTGACGAAATGGATTCACGCATTTCCCACGGTCTATTTGTGCGTAAGTGAATGTGTCTCATTCCGAGTCGCTATCCCGTGCATCCACCATCTTTCCAAGAACCGCTAATCAGTTGAACACACTCCCACGTGAATGCTTCCCTCGAGTACTACCACCGTAGCGTCTTCAATTCTAGTGTCAGTTGTTATCTATACACCATATCCTTATAATCTTTACTACCTACTTCCTCCTCTTACATCCATATCACAAACCTCAATCCGTAAACCTCTATATTGAGTGGCTCTTGAGCCATCAGTAAATAAAGAAATCATTTCAACTTTCCTAATCCGGTAAAGATTGTTATGATATGTCTCGCTTTTCAATCATTTTTAAAAGATTGCAAAAGGCACCTAAAGTAGTTTTTTTTACATAGGGTGATAAATTTAAAAAAAAAAAAAACAATTTTCGTATTGAATTCGAAAATTTCATTAAATAAAGCAAAAGATAATTGAAAAGAGCTTTAAATATGAGGTGCGTTCAAGAAGTATCGGGCAGAGATATTGCACCAAACTTTCCTGGTCACGAACAACACACCACTTATTCGGCAGGCATCCTACTCGCCTGACTTAAAACAGGGAGACTCCTGACCCTTCCTCAATCTGAATACCATGCGATTTGCATACGTAGTTACTTTTGCTGCCTCACTAGTGGATTAACTTCACCAACACTCTCCGATTGTTACCTAACAGTCAGCTATGACTATTCACCAAACATCCTCAATCAGGACTTCGTTTCGGCTTGTGGCTGGCCTACCTGAGCGTACCCTGCTTTCCTCTGAGTTACGGCCATATTTGAAGTGGTTGTACCACTCCTTGATCCCAGTTTTTCCAATGGCATTTATTTTTTGCCACAGTATTTTTTTATTATTTTTTTTTTTTTTTTTACTTACCTTAATAATCCGAACGAAGTGTTTGGGTGCGCAAACACACATGCTGCTCGGCCCGGGGGCTATGATCAAAGTGTAGTATGCTGCCTTTGTGAGCTTCCGAGTCGGCGTCTGTCGAACTCTCTGCATTAGCAGAGAGGAACCCGGACGAAGCTTTGCCGAAGGGCAAGGTTTCGTTCGGGGAGGTAGACAGGGCCTGAATCCGTCAAGGCGGGTTCAAAAAGGCTATATTTTTGGCCGAGCCTACGGGCTCGGGGATACCCACATTAAACCGGCCTTGTGCCACATTCTATCCTCGTGGGTGGATCGATAAATACTAAACACACATGCACACAACTGCGAATCTAACTATATTCGATTAGTCTAAGGAGGTAACGTTTTGATGCAATCGGCCTCGGCAGATGATCCAAGTGCGTGGCGTTGTGAGGAAATTTTTAAAATACGCCCCCTACGGGTTAACGCCAGCATTGTGAACGAAATTAAGTTGACGAAACAGTTTGGAAGCAGCCGATGCACAGCATCTCAAATCATGAGCTCTTTGCTATTGTACCGAGATTCACGAAATTAAGACCAGTACTAGATTGGCAACAAGGTCTCATCTCATTTAAAGTTGAACTGGCTAGATGTAACCGTAAGTTCTAGGCGAACAGTTTCTTTTCTTCGCATTTCTCGCTTGTAGAACTCTCTTCCAGATCCATGCTCTCTAGCTAACTTTGATCTTCAAAAATTTAAATGCAATGTCCAATATTTATTACTGAAATATACAGTAATTGTGGCATAAGGCCAATGGGGAAAAGGTGATCTCTGATAACTATCCTAGTCCTAGTTAATCACAATCACGACCCATCCATTCAATAAAATTTATCCATTTACCACAAGAACACATCCCTCATCACACAAACCCTCGTATACCGCAATACCACACATTCGCAGGGGACCTAAAAAAACACACGATGGTATAAAAAATCTTGTGAAAGTCCATCATAAAATATATAAAAATGCATTTATTTAAATGCAATGTCAATCGCTATCTACTGTCCTCCTGATTATTCTTTTCTCTTCACGCTCGTTATAAATGTTTCTGTTCCTAATTCTTCCACAGTTACTAACCCATTGTGTCTTAAGTGGCTTTACTGCTTTGCTTGGGTTGAAACCGATTAAAAAAAAGAACTTACGAAAGTACTGCAGGTCATCCAAGCTCTTCAAGGCTTTTACAGAGAATTATGGAATTTTAATGTCGTTGTTTAGCGTGTATACTATGGTTGTTCACGGTTTTCCGCGAATATGCTGTATTGCTCTTCTCGAAATAAAACGGCATTACTTTACGAGGAGATTTCACATCTAATAGCAGCAGATGTCTAAATAATTTCTATCGTAAACACACGATGGTATAAAAATCTTGTGAAAGTCCATCATAAAATATATAAAAATGCATATGCAACGACTGCATCTTCAATCGCTACTATGATCCTGATTACTCTTTTCTCTTCACATTCATTATTAATGTTTCTGTTTGTAATTTTTCCACACCCTGTAACTCCTTGTATCTTAGCGGCTTTAATGCCTTACATTAGGTGATACCGATAAGAAAAAAAGAATATTCTAATTTTAATTTTTTCACTGAAGACAACTATAGATATTGAAAATTTCCTGTTCAAAAGCCACCAAAATTCAAATGCAATGTCAATCGTTATCTATTGTCTTCTTGGTTACTCTTCCTTTGTTTTCGCCCCAGAGTAATGTTCCTGTTTGATAATTCTTCCACACCCAGTTATCCCCAGTGTCTTAGAGGCTTTACTCCCTTGTTTGGGATGATTTCGATTTAAAAGAAAATTGAATATATTTAAATATTATTCATAAAAAAAAAATATAATCATTATCCTTTGCACCATAACGAGAAATCAAATTTTCTGCTTCACAAGTAAAGAAATATGTTTTTTGTGGGGTGGTGGGGGAAAACGTCTGAGAGGCTGTTTTTAACTTTTTTGTATTCAAATGTTCTTCAATGTATGAAATGTTTTTTGCGATCGAAACAAATAAAAAACATGTTGCTGCTAAATCTCGTGACTATGGAAAATGTGCCAGAACCGCTGATTTTATTAGTTTGGGGTTTGATTCGTAGAATATGCCCTTACATTTTCATGCTGGAGAGCAACGTCTTTTCTTATTTACCAAAGCAGGAATATTTTCGATGTAATGCTTCATTTATCTGATGATGTTGACGGCGCTAAACTTCTACTATGATTTTCCTTCTGTGGTCCAGCAGCTCGGAATGGACGACACCTTTCAAATTCCACCAGACTGCGGATGAAGTCCAGGTTTCGAGCAGGGCAGGCACTACTCTCTTATTTTTAATAAACAAGGTCTTCTTTTTCTTTTTTTTTTTTTTTTGCTTTCTATTAATACAGGTGTTATGAATAATGAACAGTGGTCTCCCCTTGTTTTGTACTCTCCATTTTGAGAGAACTATTTCTGTTTACTGGGCCTATAAAATGACACTATACGCAAACCTTGTATTCTCAGTTGAATAACGCTTTCTTAAAGCATACACTTGCGTTCTTTTGCCATTACAACAGGCTGTTCGTACATGCGATAATCGCCACTTTTTAAACATTTTAAAGCTCGGCTTCTATGTACGAGCCGTATATATGACACAAGTATTTCTTTTCTTTTTTTACAATCTTTATAGCTATGTTTTGGGGGTTGGCACTAGTTTTTAAATTCGTGATAATCACTATATTTTTTGCTTTCTATCTGTTGTGGATTCCGAGATGGAATCCAGTCTCAAAATGAATGACAAACGCAGGAATGAAATATAGCAAATAAATGTATTGACGTAATAATACAATTGGTAATACGGTTAGTAGATCCAGAAATGCGGTTAGTAGCAATAATAATATATATACAGTCTGGGAAATTCAGTATCGAAGTAGGACTTCCTTCTGAGTCTACGCGCTCGCAACTGTGACTCCTACAAAGCGGTTACCTCACTCTCTTACTCTCTTACTGTTCACTGTATCACTCTATCAGTGTATCTCACTCTTCTCTCCTCTGTGTATTCCCCGGCAGCAGTACAAGTACACACTGGTCGAGTCCACTTGCATGAAAAAGGGGTGGACCCCATGACACTATAACATAATCACCTGTAAAATGAGTAAAAATGAAAGATTGACATTCCTGGTTTTAAACTGCAGCAGTTAGTAGAATATTTCATTTGATTTTTGTTGAGATGTTGGGTGTTTCCCCGTGTTTCCTCGTGTTTCCCCGTGCGTGTATTGAAATAAGGACAAACACATACGTAGGGAAAATACTGGTATATCTGAAGAGGTATTTACAACAGAGAGATTAGTAGTCAAACGAACGCAGGTTAGTCAGTAACAATCAGAAAGAGTATAAAATCCAACTGTATCTTCCGGTAGAGAAACGGAAGTGTGATGCTCACCTGATCTTCACAGAACTCTATAGAACTGTCCTATTAGTAGTAGAGAGATCAGTCCATTCTGATGAGAAGGTGGGTGGCCCCAACAATTTTCAAGCGAAAACTCATGAAGAACCCAAATTCCTTCTTTACATGTTTGACAATTAAAGTCTGAAATGTACTATAAACAGTATAATGTCTGACAGAGGTGATGAATTCTAATTCATAGTTATTTACGATTCAACCTTTATTTTGCTTTAAATGTTTAACGCGTAACCCATAGCTGTGAGGTACATAATTACTTACCGAACAGCCCAAAATATGCTACCGCAAATAATCCAGACTCCATATCAAGTTGAGTAATCGTACTCGGGTTTAAGGGAGGAGCTATACATTTTAAAGTAGGTGTCTTTAATTTTTTGAAACGTCAGTTTAGTAATCATAGCAGAAGTCAAGCTGGGTGGATGAGTGGGTGAAGTTTGTTTTTTTTTTTCTTTCTTTCTTTTTTTTCTATCAAGGAGAATTTATTTTTCTTTTTTTTTTTTTTTCCTGCCTACGGATATCCAATAACTATAGTTTTACGAACTTCAACAGTCGGGCATTGATTGTTTAATAGTGTCTGTTAGCTCTTCTCTTCCCGCTGACTTGTGTTGCTATTTAGAATCTGACAAGGCAAAGAAGAAAAATAAAGAAGCCCATTTTGGAATGTGTATAAACAATATGGAACACTGAAAAGAAAGAAAGAAAGAAAGAAAGAAAGAGAAAATTTTGGAAGGCGGATAAACAATATAGAAAGAAAGAAAGAAAGAAAGAAAGAAAGAAAGAAAGAAAGAAAGAAATTTTGAAAGGCGGATAAACAATGTGGAAAACTGAAAAGAAAGAAAGAAAGAAAGAAAGAAAGAAAGAAAGAAAGAAAGAAATTTTGAAAGGCGGATAAACAATATAGAAAAGGGAAAAGAAAGAAAAAAAGAAAGAAAGAAAGAAAGAAAGAAAGAAAGAAAGAAAGAAAGAAATTTTGAAAGGCGGATAAACAATGTGGAAAACTGAAAAGAAAGAAAGAAAGAAAGAAAGAAAGAAAGAAAGAAAGAAAGAAAGAAAGAAAGAAAGAGCAAATTTTGGAAGGCGGATAAACAATATAGAAAAGAAAGAAAGAAAAAGAAAGAAAGAAAGAAAGAAAGAAAGAAAGAAAGAAAAAATTTTGAAAGGCGGATAAACAATATAGAAAATTGAAAAGAAAGAAAGAAATTTTGAAAGGCGGATAAACAATATAGAAAAGAAAGAAAGAAAGAAAGAAAGAAAGAAATTTTGAAAGGCGGATAAACAATGTGGAAAATTGAAAAGAAAGAAAGATAGAAAGAAATAAAGAAGCAGATTTTTGAAGGCGTATAAACAACATGGAAAATTAAAAAGAAAGCAAAAAAAGTTGAAAAGAAAGAAAAAAGCAAATTTTGATAAGGCTGATAAACAATACAGATAATTAAAAAAGAAAGAAAGAAAGAAAGAAGGCTCTTTGAAAATGTAACTTCCGTTCTGTTGGCATATGAGCACACTGGAATACACTCATTAACACCCATTAGTTAGAATTCAGTGAGGAAAATGTGCACAGGACACCCACACGATTACACACACAATCACCCACGGATGCATACATACACACTGACACATTAGAAAGTGTAAAAAGGTCCAATACACAAATATTAAATAACAAAATATATCGTCGAAATATTAAATCGGAAGATTGTTGTAAAATGGCGCCTGAAAACATGCAAACACATTCTTTATCTAAAGAAGAGAATGAAAAAATGGCCACAAGTGACAAGAAACTGCTCTCTAGCTATAAGTTTCAAGAAATCTATGTCAGTAAAAGTGAATAACCTTAATCGTCAGAGTCGAAATTTCAGCGGACCATGTCACTTTGGAAGCTTCAGCGTTGAACTAATTACTGTCTGCATATTTTAGAGGTGGAGAGCGAGTTTTTTATGCTAAGATCCAGCCAATAACAATGTTGAAGAGCAACTGGCGGTGTAGAATTACTAAATGAGGTGTGTAACATCCAAAGAAATGCAAGGAAAATACTTTGATGATTGTGTTATGATTCTATACATCTGGTGCTCTTGCTATACATCTCGAGATTCTTGGTAAATTCCAAAGAAGGTTCTGTAATATAATGCATCCTGACTTGGCATCTCGACTTCAGTCACATTCTCATCGACGTAATGTGGCTTCCCTCTGTCTTTTCTACAAATATTTTCATGGCAATTGTTCTGATGACCCTTTCTCCTTAGTGCCTAGACTGCATGAATTTAAACGTACTACTAAACTGGCATCTAGATCTCATCGTTTTGCTATTGAACTAACTAGATGCAATCTCCACTTCTAATCAAACAGTTTCTTTACTCGCACTTCCTACGTGTGGAACTTCTTTCTGATTTTTTTTTCTTCACTGATAACTACAACCTTCATGAAATTAAATGCGACGTCAATCGCCATCTTTGTTCCTTCTTTGTCCTTTCCTCAATCCTCCCCATTTTAAGTCTTCTCATTCGCTTTCACTTTTACACCCTGTAAGCCATCCCCACCCCACCCCGCGCCTCCGTATTCTAGTGGCATTATCGCTTTGCTTGGGATAAAAACGATTCAAAAAACTATTTTGGATAGAAACCTATTATGGCCCAGAGTTTCAATGTCGATTTGTTCATAAAAAGCTAATAATAATATCTACAGCGTGTGTGTAATATCCCAATAGAAATAATAAAATCATGATCAGTTTAGAAGGAAGTTAATCGAGAAGCGGTTAGAGTCATTTCTCACCAATACTGTAAAGAAAGAAAGAAAGAAAGAAAGAAAGAAACTAACATGGAAAGGTGTATAAATAATGTGGAAAATATAAAAGAAAGAAAGAAAAAAGTGGGGAAAAAAGATTAAAGAGCAAACAAGCAAAAGAAAGAAAGAAAGAAAGAAAGAAAGAAAGAAAGAAAGTGTGAAAAGAGATTAAGAAACAGACAATCAAACAAAAAAGAAAGAAAGAAAGCAAGAAAGAAAGAAAAAAAGAAAGAAAGAAACTAACATGGAAAGGTGTATAAATAATGTAGAAAATTTAAAAAAAAAAAAAAAAGATTAAAAAACAAAACAAAAAAATTAAAAAGCAAAACAAGCAAAAAAAAGAAAGAAAAGAAAGAAAAAAGATTAAGAAACAGACAATCAAAAAGAAAGAAAAGAAAAAGAAGAAAGAAATTTGAAAGAAAAAAAATGGAAAGATTAAGAAAATTTAAACAGACAAAAGATTAAAAAAAGAAAGAAAGAAAGGAAGAAAGTTTGAAAAGAGATTAAGAAACAGACAATCAAACAAAGAAGAAAGAAAGAAAGAAAGAAAAAAAAAAAGAACTGGGAAAGCTAAATACAAATTAAGCAGAAGATAGATAGATAGATAGATAGATAGATAGATAAAAGAGTTGGGTAAACTAAAAACAAATAGAAAGAAAGAAAGAAAGAAAGAAAGAAAGAAAGAAAGAAAGAACTGGGCAAGCTAAATACAAATTAAGCAGAAGATAGAAAATTTTGAAAGGCGAATAAACAATGTGGAAAACTGAAAGAAAGATGCAAATTTTGGAAGGCGTATTAACAATAATTTTGGGATAAAAGAGATTAAGAAATAAGCAAGCAAAAAAGAAAGAAAAAGAAAGAAAGATCAAAATTTGAAAGACATATAAGCAATAGAGGACACAAAAAAAGAAAGAAAGATCGAAAAGAAAGAAAGAAATCTAGATAAAATTAAATGTAGACGTATATATTAAATGTTTTTTATAGATTATCTTAAATAGTATACGTGTGTTATCTGCGTTCGTTAATCTTGTATTTGTAAAATACTTATAGTCTACCGATACTGTTTATTGATGTAGGTATGAACTGCACTGTGATCAATAAGGTGACAGGTTAACCTACGTGATAGAGTAGTGGATGTATGTTCTACGTACAGATCAACCATTATTCATATTTATTTTCAATTTTGTACAATTGGGTCATAAATAACACCTGGTAATAGTCATTTTGATTGTGTAAAGTTCCACTAGAAATAATAAATATAGATATGTTTTTGATTTAGGAGAAAATTAACTTTCTATTTCAAGAACTGAGATAGAAAAGGATTCATTTATTGGTGAGAATATACAAGTAAATAAGATTTGCGGAATCGAGTAACGGCAAGCGTACGCAGTTAATGGGCCATCTGGGTGCCAGAAACGATAATCTAAGTGATGGCCCTGTTGACGGGACATCGAATACGCCAGCGGCATTCTACGCGGATAGCTAAGATTTCAAAAGGGGTTGCCTAAGTAAATGTTTATAGATTTAAATTATAAAAGACTAAAATATACCTATTCCTAAACAAAGTGAATGCATATGGCGACTTAGTAAGCGTAGCTAGCGTGTGGCACAAGGCCGGAAGTATGTACACCAGGTGAGGATCGGACTCATTACTAACTGATCTAGCGAGAGAAGCATGCTAAACATTACATCAAGTCGCAGTGCCGGCAAGTAAATGCATATAGACAGATATAAATGACCAATATTTACCTATTTCTGAATAAGGAAAATACATATAGGCTCAAGTATAAACGACCGACATTTACTCATCTCCGAAACAAGTATATATATATATATATATATATATATATATATATAACAAATAAAAATGATCAATATTTGTCTGTTCCGGAAAAAACGAAATGTATATGGACAAATATACAAACGATCAATATTTACCTATGGCTGAATAAAGTTAAGGCATATAGACATAGATATAAACGATTAATCCTTATTCAAAAAGTAAATGCATATAGGCATAGATATAAACGATTAATCCTGATTCCCAAAGTAAATGCATAAATGAATATAAACGATTAATCCTTAATATAGGCATAGATATAAACGATTAATCCTGATTCCCAAATAAATGCATATAAGGCATAGATATAAACGATTAATTCCCAAAGTAAATGCATATAGGCATAGATATAAACGATTAATCCTTAATCCCAAAGTAAATGCATATAGGCATAGATATAAACGATTAATCCTTATTCCCAAAGTAAATGCATATAGGCATAGATATAAACGATTAATCCTTAATCCCAAAGTAAATGCATATAGGCATAGATATAAACGATTAATCCTTATTCCCAAAGTAAATGCATATAGGCATAGATATAAACGATTAATCTTTATTCCCAAAGTAAATTCATATAGGCATAGATATAAACGATTAATCCTTATTTCCAAAGTAAATGCATATAGGCATAGATATAAACAATTAATAGATATAAACATATAGGCATAGATTAATTCCTTATTTCCAAAGTAAATGCATATAGGCATAGATATAAACGATTAATCCTTATTTCCAAAGTAAATGCATATAGGCATAGATATAAACAATTAATCCTTAATCCCAAAGTAAATGTATATTAGCATAGATATAAACGATTAATCCTTAATCCCAAAATAAATGCATATAGGCATAGATATAAACGATTAATCCTTATTCCCAAAGGAAATGCATATAGTCACTGATATAAACGACCAATATTTAAGTATTCTCGAACTAAGTAAATGCATATAGACACAGATAAAAAAAGACTATGTTTTGCCTATTCCTGAATCAAATAACTGCATAGAGAGAGATATATAAACTACCAATATTTTTTTTTAATTACGTACCTTTTAAATGCCTATAGTCACTGATGTAAACGACCAATACTTAACTATTACAGAACTAAGTAAATGTATATATACACAGATATATAGACAAATATTTATTTATTGCAGAACTATGTAAGTGTATATTGGCACAGATATAAACGACAATTACTTCCTTAATCTCATACCAATTAAATGCATATAGTTTCAGTTATAACCAACTAATTTTTACCTATTCCCAAAGTAAATGTATATAGACTCAGATATAAAAGACTAATTTTTACCTATTCCTGAATCAAGTAAATGCATATATACACAGATATAAACGACTAATATTTACTCAATCACGTATCAATTAAATACATATAGTCACTGATATAAACGACCAATATTTAACTATTCTCGAACTAAATACATGCATATAGGCATAGATAAAAGCGACCAATATTTACCTATTGCTGAACCAAGTCAATGCATATAGACAAGTATAAATGACCAATATTTACCTATTCCTTCGGACAAAGTAAATGCATATAAACTCAAATATAAACGAACAATCCCCGAACCATCTACATGCTTATTGACTCATGTGCACATTTTAAAAAATATCTTCTGGATTTTTGCTTTCCAGTCAACTTCGATGTTCAACATTTAAATGCAATGTTAATCGTTATCTTCTGTCTTCTTGATTATTGTTATCGCTCTTTAATAATGCTTTTTCTAATATTGTTTCAGACCCAGTAACTCCGTGCGTCTTAGTGGCTCTGTTGCCTTGCATGGACTGAAATGCTTTAAAAAAATAGATTCGACATTAAAATAGACATATATGGACAGACAGAAATACGCTTCTGGTCAAAATCTTAAGACCAGATACAAAGGGGTTTAAGAATATAAAATACTGTTACTTGCGAAACATTTACATTTAATTAGAAAATAAATATATATTTGGTTGGGCATAAAGGTAAGACCGTGTAAATAAAAATAGAAAATACAGAACAAATAAGTAACATCAACAATTTAATTTTCAGTATATCCTCCATTTTTGCGAATTACTTCGAAAATTTGCTTTGGCATACTCATTATTAACTTCTGCATGAGGGTGCTTCGAATCCTCGCCCAGGATGCATAAACTGCAGCACAAAGAGCATCCACAGTTTCAAATTGCGATCCATGTTTATAAACAATCTTTGGTATCCATTCCCAAACATTCTCGATTGGGTTTAAATCTGGAGAGCACGGTAGTTTGCTCAAAAATCTGAATGTTGTTTTCCATAAAAAAAACTCCTTCGACCTTCAATCCTTGTGGATTGCAGCAATATCCTGCTGGAAAAGCCAGTTTTCTCCACGTAGATGAGGGTCTTCAGTAATTAGCGATGCCTTTCTTAACATGTCAATGTAACTAGCAGCTGTTTGGACACCTTTTACCTTCTGTAACTCAAGAGTTCCATTGTACGAAAAGGAACCCCAGACCATAACTGATCCAACTCCAGTGTCATGTTGAGAAAATTTATTTTGGGCCATTTTTTGCATGCCAGTAATACTGAAAAACGTCTGGTTGATTTTTTTCACGTCTGAAAACAACACTTTCTTCCATTTATCCACATCCCAAGTTTGATAATCGGAAGCAAATTTAAACGGGAGGTTTTATGGCGAGGACGAAGGCGAGGCCTCTGCTACCGCTTCATGTTTTTAAACTCTTTCCTATTTAAATGCCGTCGGATTGTCTGAGAGTTGCATTCAGCATCCGTATTCACTTTTATCTGATTTGATGTTAGATTTGAATCTCTCTTATCTTCTCGCCTAATGCGTCTGTCTAGAGATGGTGAGATTTTATTGGGGCGACCGCTTGATTTTTTAGAAGCATACCCATCCGGATTTTTAATGAAGTTAGCAATGACAGTTCTGCTACGGCCAATTTCATTTCCAATGGCTCATTGCGAAAGACCACGTTTTTCGAGTTCGACAATCCTGCCCTGTTCGAACTTTGTTAAAATTTTACCCTTAGCCATTTTAAAACTTAATACTGGAAATGAGCTAAGTAGATGTCTACACGCTTGAATCTATACGCACACTGACTAGTTCTAAAATTTTTGTCCAATAGTTTTTTCACACATGGTTTTATCTTTATGACCAACCAAAAAATACTTTTTCAGTTTAAAAGTAATCAATTAAAAGCTTAAAATGTTCACTTTTTGTTGAAAAACAATATTTTCTAATTAAATTTAAATGTTTGGCAAATATATTTCGATTAAATAACAGTATTCTATATTTTTTAACCCTTTAATATTTGGTCTTAAGATTTTGACCAGGAATGTACCTCTGAATTTCGAATAGACGGGCCAGGCCTATTAATCTTTTTTGTACGAGAAATCCAGCGGTCATTCTTATTCCAGCCACCCCTTTTATTAAATACTAGCAGTAGAGCCCGGCATTGCCCGGGGACGTAACAGTAAGAGATAGATCAAGTATCGACCATCATAAAGACTGAAAAATAAAATTGACAAAGATTATTGTTTAAGGTTGACGGACACGCATGTCTTAATTAGTTTTTTTGTTTTGTTTTTTGTTTTTTATTGTTTTTTTTTTACTAATTGGTCAAACCCAAACTCAAGCAAAAACATTGTTTTCAATCGTTATGAGTCTACCGATTGAATAGAATTTTATTATGAACAATTGTCTTGTAAATGGAATTTTTAAAGCCTTCTGAATGTAAAAATAAAGAAAAAAGTGTGCAAGACAATAAGAAACAATACCTGCCAAAAAAAGGTGAAGTTTTGTTGAAATCGGTTGAAAAATGTAGGAAATCCGATCCCATATATAAACGAACACACACACAAACAACCTGGGTTTTATAAGTATAACTCGATATGACAGCGATGACTCTTAATCGTGTTTTCAAATTGATTTTGTACAAAAACAATTGTGTTTTTCCAATTTTTGGCGCTGCCAAAACCACCGCAAGCTAATTTTACGTAGTCCTGTGAAGTTTTGTTGAAATCGGTTGAAAAATGTAGGAAATCCGATCCAATATATAAACGTACAGACACACACAAACTGGGTTTTATAATAAGCATGATTTAGAAAATTTCCTCCCGTCGTTTATTGTAGACAGAAAGGCTACTTAGTCGTGGTTTAATGGTAATCAAATTGTTACCGAGTGCTCCATACTTTGGCTTTATACCATATGGAATATCGCTTAGTAAATCGTTAAAAATATTTCTGTACGTCAAATAGACGGGTCAGGACGATTATTCTTTTCTGGTGAGAAATCCACCATGATATTCTTATTCCAACCACCCCTTTTATTGAATGTTCATGAAATTTAAATTAGTAAGTTTGATCTTCACTGGGTCCTCCTTGTGTCACATCTAAGCTGCGCTAAGTAATTTTAGAACAAAGTGTTTCATTATTGAAAATTGCAAAACTTTTTTTTTTATTCGAGATACCCCTTTTATTAAATCACACACTTCAGTACCAAATAAAAGTTAGGGACCTTCATTTTTATGGAAATTATTTAAAACACTCCGTTTATTAATTTCACATTTTAATCATTTAAATGATTTCTAACATCTCCCGTTTATTAAGACACTACCGTATATTGCATATTAATATAAAAAAAATATCCGGCCCGCCACTCCAATTAAGATCTCCCTTGTATTGGACCCCAAGAGGAAATAGATAGATAGATAGATAGATAGATAGATAGATAGATAGATAGATAGATACCAAGAGCACTGCAGTTTCAAGAATACGTAAAGATATGAATTTGACTTGAGAAAGTTAGGACTTTAGTAATGAAGACACTTGGCATAGAGTTGAAAGATATTTATTCTCCGAAGTTTTACAGGTATACTTGTCTCAGTTCAATTCGATAGACCACTTGGATATCGAAGGTTTCATAAATACATTTCTCAGACTTGAATGAACAGTCGATTGATTGCGTAGAGATGGCCGGATAGAGATACACGTCATAAAAATCGCGCGAAACCAATACAATGGATAAACATATTTTCTAATTGTTCAAATCTCCTACCACAAAATATCGACATTCCTAATCGATAACACAGGAAATAAAAGGAAATCGTTGTTTCCGATTTCAGATGCATATCATTAAATTGACATTTTCAAGATGGCTGACGATTAACTTCCGTTTGGCTTTTTCAATTTAGTTCGACTGCAAAGTGCAATAAAAAAAAAACTGCAATAATCGAAATACAATTAGGTTTTAAGCATCTGCTCCTTTTTTTTCTTTTTCTTTTTTCGTGATTTTATTGATTTCTTTTTTCGTTTTATATGACTATGGTGTATCCTGCCTTTATTGAATTGGTTAAATCAATCGAATGACGTAATACTTAGTAACCATTTTTTTCCACAAGCCAAAAATGAATGAAACAGTTAAACCTAGGAAATAAAAAAAAGACTACAACGATATTGGCTTTTGGTTTTCTTTCTGGAGGTAAAGTTTCTAAGATTTTAATATGTTATAAATATTTAAAAACGAAAAACAAAGATGGAGACGCAAAAATATTTCAAATATTCGACTCTATATTTTCTTTAAACAGTTGTTCTCACCCATTTTTGAGTCACGGACTCATTTTGTCACGGACGCATTTTGTCACGTACCTCTTTAGTCACTGACCCCTTTAGTCACGGACCGCTATAAGAACTAGCTCTTCATAGACAGATAGACAATCAGATACTCACAGTTTGCGTGGATTTTCACAACACTTGTCCGTGCATTTCTCACACTACACCCTCATGCATACTTCAGACGTAACACTTTTCAAACAGCCACACTTGAAAGAAATAGTGGTCAATTAATCCTTACCATTATATGAGAAGATAATAAAGCCGTGATAAACCGTGGAAAATGAAAATTATCACTGCTCCTATGGAGTGGCAAAAGATGGCGGTCGTGCAGAGAATGATTAGACAAGTTTAAATGATAAATATGGACCCAAACGCGTCAACAGACGCCTAGTGGTCGGCACTGTAAGTAATGACTGGGCGCGTTTCCTTTCAAACAGTGACAGGATGCGTTTTCTTTTATTTCTTTTAATGGGAAAACATTGATTGGAAAAAGGGCTGTATAGCGAATATCAATGTTAATTTTTATCTGATCATCACGGACCTCCTTTAACCCCAGGTTAAGAAGCATTGGTTCAGACCGTGCAAGATCATCATCAAAATCAACAACATCATTATCCTTCGACCTCCCTATCAGGTTGGTCGGAACTCCATTAAAAATCTCTTCCCTGTATTGCCGTTCCCAGATCCTACCAACTGAGCCATGGTGTCTGGGAGAGTCAATTTTCGCCAGAAGACACCTCCAGAAGAATGCCAAAATAAGGATGAGACGACCTCCCCGTTCGTTCGGTGACAGTGGCTGGCAAACTACATTCGCTTTTGTTTGAGCTTAGGAGAGATTAGTCTCAGTTCTCTGTAAATTGTGTTAAGCGTTGTATGGGATCTCCAAGTGATATTCTGTATTTTTCTAAGTTCCATCCGGTCGTCTTTCAAGATAATGTCCAAGTTTCTGATCCATAGAGCAGGACTGGTTCAATCAATGTTCGAATGATTTGCAGTGGCTGGCAAACTATATTCGCTTTTGTTTGAGCTTAGGAGAGATTAGTCCCAGTTCTCTGTAAATTGTGTTAAGCGTTGTATGGGATCTCCAAGTGATATTCTGTATTTTTCTAAGTTCCATCCAGTCGTCTTTCAAGATAATGTCCAAGTTTCTGATCCATAGAGCAAGACTGGCTCAATCAATGTTCGAAAGTTTTGGAATTTTAAAGAGGATGGCAGGTTCGAACGCCAAATCTTGTGAAGTTTGTTACACGCAACCCGTGCAAGAGCTTTGTGGATGTTGCACTCTTTTGGGGAATCTATTATGCCTAATCCAAGATATCTGAAGTCCTCAACTCTTGATGGATATATTATTGAGTGCAAGATGCAGAGACCATTCATTCTTCTTCTATTATGCGCCAAGCCCCTTCAGAAGGTGAGCGAACATAACTCTCCACGACTTCCTAACTTTGTTGCTTTAGGGATTTATAACTATTTACTATCTCTCCCTATCCATACTCTACCCAGCATTCACACAAACTCGGTAAGTTATTCGCTTTAATGCCTTGTATGTGTTAAATTCTCCGAGCCCCCTTTCTTCATTATGTGTCCCAGCAATTTCAGCTGTCTCTTTCTGATCGTAGGAATTAGTTTTCGTCTGGTTTCTATTTTCCTTGAAACTTCCTAATTGCTCACATGCTTTGTCCATGGTATTCGGAGATCCACATATCTATCGCTTCAAGTGTCTTCTTCATTTGTAATGAAATTGTTCAGTATCCACTGGCCCTATAATTTGGTTTTGGTTTCATTTGTTTTACGGCATATCAACCCACTGGGTCATTTACATATTGTGCATATTAGTTAAAAAAAAAAAAAAAGAAGAATTCTGTTATTTACTTTTTTTCGTATTCTTCCAATGAAACATGGCCCAGTGCTGGTTTAAAAATAGCAATACGATCCATCGCTAAAGATGCTGGGAAAATTAGTCAGTCCCCTGTACCGGTCCAGTAAGTACTTGACCCATCCTGCCGTCCTCTACCGTTCCAAGAGTCAGACCAGGCCGAAAATTGGAGTACTGTTGCCATATAGGGGTTGAGGTAATACATCTTTCACTTTCCAGCCTTCATAGAGTCCAAAAGCGTCTCCGCGTCCTTGTGGATGATGAATTATTTCCACCCAGCAACTCCTTTCTCACAGACGAGACGTTGCAAGCCTCTCGTTACTCTGTTACTATTTTCATGGAAAGTGCTCATGATAAATAGTCTAAGTTCCACCAATTCTAGCCTTCATTGCAGTGAATCACCCTCATTCCCTTCGTAACACCTCCAGTTGCCTTGATCTATCCATTATCCTTCGCCTCATCCTTTCCTCTATCACTCCTATCTGATCTTGCTCTAAATCTTCTGTAACCCCCTTGCGTCCCAGTGGCTTCCTGCCTTGCTTGGGGTGAAACGCTTAAAAGGAAAAAAATTGGTGAGATGTAAGATCCACACGAGCAGCTTCTTCCCACGAACCTTTGCTTTGGGGAACCGACTCCCAACAGAATCCTTCCCTTTATCATCACAATCTTGGCATGTTCAAGTCTTGGGTCAACAGCTATCTTCCCCACATATCCGCATAAATTGTGCCTCTTACTCTGTAGCTCTCTACCTCGAGTGGCACTTGCGTCTTGGAGGTGAAATGAAAATTCATAAAATTCGAGAAAACGAATTGATTAATAAAGAAAAGCAATTAAATCTTTTTAAACTATCGGCTCGCTGACGCATTGTTTTTGAAAAATGTGAAAAAATAGAGACCTCGGGAGCGTTCAAAATAAGCAACGCCCATTTTGAAAAATCGCTAAGCATGAAACAGACTTTAAATGGGTAACTAAATAAAAATGTTATATATATATATATATATATATATATATATATATATATACGTGCGTTAATGTCTGTGTGTATGTGCGTGTGCGCGTTTGTGTGGGTGTCTGTGTCCGGGTGTGTAAATAAATAAAGAACAAGTAGAAAATTCTTTATAAATTTAAAGTTTCGATGTGTATTTATCTTCATTCGAAATTTCGGTATCGGAATAATGCAGAGTCATGAATTGCTTTTTTTTTAAATTTTCTGTTGGCTTGTTTTCATTGGCTGTGTGAACAAGTTTTATTAAATTCATGCAAAAGGAGTATCTGTTTAATTTTTTATTGAATTTTTCAAATTTTTGCATACGATGTTGTACTTACAACTCAAAATTGTGGATAAACTGGTTTTGTTCTGTTTTTCGCAACTACTTACGTCATTCTAAGTCATAATTAAAGACTGAATAATGTAAATACTCTATACCAACTATCGCTAGGTCACTCCAGGGATTTTTAACGCTACAATTCAAATGCAATTCATATACACATGATTGATCTAAAGTACAAACATTGTCTTGTACAGTTTGCATACAAGTATATACATTATTAACTGAATTTAACAGCATTATATATGAATATAAAAATGAACAATGAAGTCAACACTTAGAGGCGACAGGCTGTTTCATGCTAGACGCAATCGTCAGGCCATACGCAATCATCAGGCACGGGTCTTCATATATATATATATATACGGCAATAAACTAAAAATTGCCTCAACATGTTCTGTACGCGGCTATCATCAGCGCCTAAGTATCTGTCTCGGAGCATTGTCTTAAATTTATTTTCAATGTCAGTCCTCCTCTGGTAGACGCCTTGTTAATGCGAATGGGCTTGTGTTAGCGACTGGTGGGAGGGGGACAGGAGGTATCTTATCCCGGGGGAAGCGGTCTAGTGTTGGAGTTTATTTATGGCTAGTAAGTTTCGTTGTTTGTAGTTTAATAACAGTTCCTACTATGTGGCGTTTCTTATACGAGCCCCGAGTATGTTTTCCTGGAATTCACAGTGAATATTTTTCGTACTACAGGTACCCAATATTATTTATAAGCGATGAGGGAATTAAACTTAAACCCGTTAAGATTAATGTAGATTAGTTGAGTGATAGATTTATAGATTGTGGGTAATACCAAATCACCCAGTGGAATAAACCATGCTGTCCAACACACTTATATGCGTACATATCTTCATACATACACATATATACATTTATATGTCCATACATATATGCCACCATACGCTCACATATACTCCCACTTATATACACATATATTCTTATGTAATTTTGAATTTATTTCTATGTCTACATTTCGTGATTATTTCTCTCCGTTGATTTAATAGTTTGCATTGATCTTTATATTTTATTATCCTGATTTTTTTCTTCTAAACATAGCTTGCACTTATCGTTAAAATTATTGGGGGGCGTTCGCGAAACCTAAAATTTTCCAATTTATTTGAGGATTCAGACCCTTTTCCTTCAATTCCCAAAATTTTTTCAAAAGGGCTGTTTGGTGTTTTAATTTTAGATTGGTGAATGATTGTCTATGTGTATTGATTCTCTTTTTAAATTTTCCTGCAGAAATTCCGATGTAAATATTATGGTTTGTCGTATTTTATTTAGGGGTAAGTGGTTGCCTGGTATACAACCCTAGTGGATCTGTATTAGCCCTCTACTGAGCAGTTTTCCTTAATCCTACAGTTACAGGGATTTTCCATGTTAGATTTAGTTTTTTCCATGGAATTTGCTTAAAATGTAATTGTTATGGGAATTAATAATTTTGTACATATTATCAGTGCAGGAGTAGCTAATTTTGATTAGCTTCCTGTTGAATATCTTATTTAGAGGATTTTTTGTTGAAGTGTAGTAATTAAATTTAGAAAGTACTGTCCGATGTTGATACTTGACAATTTGCAGAAGGGAGTTGAAACAAGTGATTGAACGATAGTTTACTAACGCTGGTGCAAAAGATAGTGGTTATTTGTCTTAGGATTGCATTGGGGTGGTTAGAACCGATATTAATATAGTTAGGGGCTTCGTTCTCTTTATGGTAAGGTTTAAAGGTTTCATCATTAAGGTTAAGGGCGATATCTTGGTAGTCAAATATTTTAAGCTCAGAGAAAATCTCGATCTTAAACCCTAGGAATTTGAAAGCCCTGATGATTTTCTTTTATAATTTTGCTGTTAATGGACCATTACTCTTAGGGATGCGGATGAGTGCGTCTTCCCTCTGCAGTCCTATTAGTTTACAATTCTACTAAGCACATCTAAAATGTAAAAACATACTAGATCGAAAACTTGAGCTGAGTCAGACAATCCCATGGGGACATCGAATTCGTCATTATGGCGCTTAGTCTAGGTGGAGTTTTTTAGTGTTAGCAGGGACTTTCTCGCCGTTAGTTTCATTATCCGTTATTTTTATATAGTTCTTTGCAAAGTTACTACTATTGACCAGGAGGTCACTAGTGATAGAGAAATAGAAGTCAATAATATCAAGCTTAATGGACGTCGCTTTATCCTTATGCCTCAAGTTAGTGAACCATTTAAAAGTGTTTGACGAATCCTTCCAAAGGTTAGCACTAGTTGTGGTTAGTAAATTGTCGGTTATTTTTTTTAATTATGTTTTTTGAGAAAAAGCCTAGTTCTGTTTTTGTTGGGTTTATTAGTCTAGATTGTGTACTGTTACTGAAGTTCTGTTTATGGTCCTTAAATAAAATGTAAGCATCCGTAGTGTTGATCTTTCCAACTCTATCTGCAATATTTAACTTATTGGCTATTTCGATCATCTCTGTATCTATTTCGGACATCCTTCTATTCTGTGTATATGTACATTCTATAATTGATATTCGTGCAAGAAGGTTTTCATCATAACAAGAGGTAAAGAATTGACAAATTTGCAAAAAACAACTGATTGTTAAGCTCTGGAAAGAAGGTAAAAGTTACAGGAAAATCTCAGACATCCTGAATATTCTATTTACTACCATTAGTTCATTCGATGCAAGGTATAAAAAAAACTCAAAACGGTTGAAAACCAAAGAAGAACAGGTGCTCCATAGAAGAATTCTTCAAAATATTCGAGGGAATTAATACGTCAAATTAAACAAAATTTAATGTTTATTCGTTAAGTTGTACAGGATGATTTTCTGTCATCAGGAATCTGTCACTAAATGGACAATAAACAATCATTATTAGGCTACGGATTTCTTCATTGATCTACGTTATATGGGTGTCAAATTATATATATATATATATATATATATATATATATATATATATATTTGTGTGTGTGTGTGCTAGTGTGTATATATATATATATATATATATATATATATATATAGAGAGAGAGAGAGAGAGAGAGGAAGTGATAGAATATATACATGCTTTTTTAAATATATATATGTATATAGAGAGAGTCAAACGTTTTAAGTTAAGAACTAAACGCATAGATATAACTATTTTGTTTCTAATATATAAAGATAAAACAACCCGCATGCCTTGGGGCCTTGATGATGTACCTGGTGTTGCCCATATCATCTCCGAACAACAGTTTGTATTGGGTTACATTGGTACCGATAATAGCAGGAAGGAATCGTCATTTTCATTTACTTAGAGAAGTGGAATCATGCTTTTCCCAAAATCTTCAGTGTGAAAAGAAGAGGAGACTCATTGACATTTGTTATGAAACATAGAGCGAGAGAATGGGGGGCAAGAAATATAAGCGTGTATGAAACGATAGATAGATAGATAGATAATGAAGAGACTGAGATAGATAGATAGATAGATAGATAGATAGATAGATAGATAGTGTTGTAGAGTAGTTTTCACGGTGGACGCTTGTATTTCAATAAGTCGTCCTAAATTAGGTTCGACGTACAAAACGTTAGGAACTTGGAAATAAGAGTTAATGACGCAGCAATCTCGTTGTGATGGTTGGTACTTCAATGTCCGATATCGACTGACTCGCTCAAAACCACTGAGCCGAACTGGCGACCGCTACTACTACTACTACTACTTATTATGTGTGGGAGAGTCTATTAATAATAGAATAGGTACGCCAGGTATAATAGATAGATAGATAGATAGATAGATAGATAGATAGATAGATCCCAAAATCTCTGCAGATATTTGTAATTTAGCAATAGTTGTAATAGTTGGCAATTTGAACGAAGAGAATTATCTGAGTATACCCATCTAATACGGCGTAGAGCCAATCCCTGTTGCAGATGTGTGCTCAAGCATATTTGTGTTTGTTCAACACCCACACACCCTGTGATTTACACTGCAATTATGCTGAGTAGACCTTAGTTACAGTTTCTGAGATAGAACGCATTATCTGGCATGATCAACAATCTGAACAAGTTCAGTACGCTCAAAACCTCTCGGTCACGATGACTTGTGACTTCGTCCTAGCACACCCATCGACGGCTCCCGATGAGTTCCGTCTACACTTGTGGTATTGTTTACAGGCACTTTCCAACCATCACCACCACCGCCACCACCACCGCCGCCAGGCCGACAGCTTCAGTAAGTTACTTATAAGTTACAATAAGTTACAAATCCACCATGATGAGATTCGAACGCGGATCTCATGGTCAGTAAGCGAACGTTATAAGTGAACACTGCATATAAATACACTGCATATTTTCCTAATGCGTGTATGAGCATAAAAACCATATTCTATATATAGAGACTGGTCTCTTCACTCACACAAATTAATTTATACTCAACGTTTGCCATAATTATGAAGATATGGGGGATAAGATTTGATTCCAGACTTGGAAATATCCCCTCGGGAGTCTGTTGCCCAAAGCGGAGGCCTTTGAGATGAATCTATACGAAAGAAGCTTCCTCCTTGCCAAAAGAGTATCAAAAGAATGGTAATGATTCGACCCTGTGTACGTGGAATGGTGGGTCTTAGCTGTAAGGGTCTGATCTGCTGGAACTAAGGGATGTAACTCGTCATGACCTTTGCCCTCGAAATAGTGAGAGGCTTCCAACATTTCTACTGAGGGAAAAGGGATTGCAGGGTGTAAAATCATTAATTCCCCACGGGGCGACATAAATGGTTTTCAACTCTCTCAAGACCGTAAACTAAGGTTTGGGAAATGGCTTCAAAGTTACTAAAATTCTATCAAATATGTTTATGCAAGTACATAAATATAATGGACATTCTTGTTACTGATGCTCGCTCATTACAATGCCCAAGAGCCACTCAAGGTAGAGGGTTACTGAATGAGGTTGTTGAATGTAGATAAGTGTTAACCTAAGACTTGAAGAGGTTAAAATTGTAGCGCTCGGGGAAGCACCTTCTTGGGAGTCTGTTCCACAAAGTAGCCGTTCTTGGGAAGAACTTCCACCTTAACAATGGAATAAGAAGAGAATAGTAATTATTCGGCCCTGTTTACGTGGAATGGTGGGTCTTAGCTGTAAGGGTCTGAACTGGTAGAACTAAGAAATGTAGCTCGTTAGAACATTTACCATTGAAATCGTGAGAGGCTTGCGGCATTTCGTCTGTGGAGTGAAAAATAATGCAAAGCCATATAAATGCTTGTGAATTCTCACAAGGTTGGAAAGTGGGAACTGAGAAACTCCAAAACTGTATTTTTAATGATCAATTTTCTGGTGCCAATTCTGCTAAAACAGAAATAAATTACCTGCAAAATCAAATTTATATTTAAGCACAATAGACATTCGATTTTTTTTTTACTGATACTCACGCAATACAATGCCCAAGAGCAACTGAAAAATAAGAAGTGTAGACTATGAGGATATGTAGGATATATAACGGTTGGCCCTAGTTGAAGGGTTTAAACATTCTAGTAATACTCTTCGGAATCTGTTCCATAAATTCTTAGATGATTCAACCCTTTTGATGTGGCATCGTGTGTCCTAGCTGTAAAGGTCTGATCCAGGGAAACTAAAGGATGTAGTTTGCCTGAACATTTGCCATAGAAATAGCAATAGAATAGTGATAGGCTTGCAAACATTTCGTGAGGAAAGGGGTTGTAGAATGGAAAATAATCTTCAGGTATCAATTCTATAAGCTATGCTAAAACAGAAGTAAATCACCTAGAAGATCAAATTTATCTTGAAGCATAATGGGTATTATTTATTTATTTATTTATTTATTTTTTACTGATGCTCACCCAATACAATGCCCAAGAGCAACCCCGTGGGAGTCTGTTTCACAAAGAGGGAGTTCTTCGGAAGAACTGCCTCCTTACGAAGACAATGAGGATGATCCAGTCCTGGCATATCGGGTCTTAGTCGTAAAGGTCTGAACTGGTGGAACTAATGAATATACATCGGCAGAAAATTTGCCATGGAGATAGCGTTAATGCATCTAGAGGCTTGTGGCGTTTCGTCTGTAGGAAAATGGTTGCAGAGCGGAAAATTATTTATTTATTTTTAAGTCTCTTCTTGATGCGCAGAAGATCGGTGTGGGTGCAAGTTAGAGAAAGTCAAGAACAGTTAGTGGAATTGGATCGGCGAAACTGTTCATAAATCTAAGGTTGTACTGGCACGAAGTTACAACTCATCGTGACCGAGGCTTTGAACGTACTTGTCCTGTCCAAAGACTGGCTCTCTCTCTCTCTCTCTCTCACACACACACACACACACATTCTCTCTCCCCATCTCTCTCTCCTCTCTTTCTCTCCCTCTCCCTCCCTCTCTCTCTTTCTCTCACCATCTCCCCTCCCTCTCTCTCCCCCCTCTCCCTCTCTCTTTCTCTCTCTCCCTCTCGCTCTTTTCTCCCTCTCTCTCCCCCTCTCCCCCTCTCCCCCTCTCTCTTTCTCTTCCTCTTTCTCCCCCTCTCTCTCCCACTCTCTCTCCTCTCTCCCCCTCTCTCAAACTGTAACTACGTTCAACTCTTTGAAGCATACTGCTGGACTCTCCCTTCGTTTTCGACGTATGAGGGTCAATGAGCTGTTAGGAACCGACAACCAAACATAAAATATGATTATATTGATGAGGCCTTTATGCAGAACCAACCACACTTTTGAAGAGCCGAATATAGATGGTGCAACGCCCCTCCCTTTGAATTCAAGTTTGTCCTTCTCCTAGACCAATTGCTATCCTATTTACCCATAGTTGATGGAAGAAAGAGAGGATTCATACCCTTCCCAAGGGTATTAGGACGTAAATGAATGTAATGGATTCGACTGGAATTCGAACACGTCTCTCCGATTCCTCAATCCGAGCCGCTATCCATTACTCCACATAATTGGAGCATAAACAACAGATTCGATGTGGGGCCGATGAACTGTAACTGAAGGGGCGTCTGCAACAGACGGGTGTACTCTGAAATGTGTCCCTTCAGGAAAGTAAGCGTTCATGGCTCTCCACACTTTCCTGTCCTTTGTAGCTCTTAATAAATTTTGTCTTTTTGTTATTTCTCCTAAACCTTGTTCCGCCATCCATTTACTCAAGCTCACGAAATAGGTTATGCGTTGTTTTCCTCTTGCCTTCAATCTGTCATGTGAGTATCTGATTTTCCAAGCTCTCTTTCCTCATTATTTGCCCGAGACATTTCAGCTGTCTCTTCCTAATGTTAAGTATAAATTTCCTTTTTGTTTCTATTTTATCTCAAACTCTGTCGTTGCTCGCATATTCAGTCCATGGTATTCTCAGCATCCTCCTGTAGAACTACATTTCTGCTACCTCGAATCTCCAGTTCATCTGTGATGAGATTGTCCAGCAATCACTACCATATAGGATGACTGATATTACGTAACAGTTCAGTTCTCTTTTCTTTTTCTTCGTTTCTAACGAAATCTATCTGTTTCTTAATACTCTGCTTAGCTTTTGCAATAAATCTTTGGCTATTCCAAAAACGCTTTCGAATTTCAGTGTCGCATTTTCCCGCCTCTGTTAAAACACTTCCCAGATATTTAAATTTGTTTTAATTTTGTATTTGTTTAATTTTAGTGTCTCCAATTTGTAATTTGCAATTTACGCAGTTCTTTTTGTTCACAACCATATATGGCCTTTCTTCACGATTTGCTTCACTGGCTTCTGTAGGAGTTCTCATCGTTTAGATATTTGGAAAGCGTATTAAAAGAAGGCAGGTCGGCGTAATGGATAAGGATTCAGATTGAGGAATCGGAGAGCTGTGTTCGAATTCCAGTCGAAACCATTACATTCACCTATGCGCTAATACCCTTTGGAAAGGTGTGAATCCTCTTTTTCTCACCACGGCTATGGGTGGTGAGAAGGACAAACCAGGTTCTATAGTCTCTAATGGCAACTGGTCTACCGCAGAAAGAAATGGCAACCTACTGAGGTAAAAAAATCTACCTTGTCAGTCATGTTTTGAAAGATAGACATTCGTTGTCTGTTATATTTAACTCTATATATATATATATATATATATATATATTCGTAAGTATGAGTTATTGTCGCGAATAGTGGGATCCGTGACCCGAGTTCAAAACCCAGCTCTGTCTGTTGCGTTCGCTATAACACAAATGCACTTGGGAAATACATTAATCACTCTCTTCTTCTGATGAGTTAAATAGCTGAGTAGACTAGATTCTCTAGCCTTGGTTGTCTAGGAGAAGGACTATCTCACCCCAAAATCGTGGCAGTTCACAGATAAAAAAAAGAAAACTCTGGTGAGTGATGATCGGCTACGTCTTGGTATTTAAATTTCTTCTGAATTTTTATATATATATATATATATATATATATAATATTAGTGGTAAATATACACATACATAAGAAATCATATATATATATACATACATATATATTTGTATAAAAAATAAATCCAAGAGGATAGAATCCAGGTAGAACTCAATGTCCAGGACAGAGTAAGGATATAATAATAAAAAGGCTTAAACACTAATATTCCATGGTCATAATTTATTACATTGGAATCGTTGTTTTTTTTCTGTTTTCTTTCTATGCTAACAGTTTCTTCTATCGCGCTTCTCGATTGTGCAACTGTCTCCCGGCTTCTTGCTTCCCAGTCAAGTGTGATCTTTACAAATTGAAACACAATCTCAGACGACGTGGAACTGTCATAGAACTGATATCTGTTGCATTTCGAAGCAGAACAGCACGTATCTCCTTACAAGAAATTGTTGGGAATCGTTCAGGAATGAGCTTCATCAAATGGTCATCTTTAGTACTTTAGTTTTCTTTCGACGTCTACTTCTCCCTTCGTCGCAAAATGTCACTAAACTTTGGGCATTCAGGGTAGCAGTGCGCAAACTAGTTATGCCACAACATACTTTTACAATAATTTCACGTTCAGAATGACCTTCACCGCGTAGAACTGCATCCTGTAGGTGAGAATGCGGATTTTTGCCCATATTTTTAGCTTAATTCATTAAGTAAATAACATCTCAATGGCTGCTAATTTGGCAATGGCAAAACTATTTTAGCCATAAAGCATGTTATAATAATGGCTGGTGAAATAACTAAAAGCTATTGTACCATAGAATCTCATATGATACAAAGTAATACAAAACAAGGAGTATAACATTGTTATATTTAAGTGGTCATAAGCTCTTGTTTTTTATATATATATATATATATATATATATATATATATATATATATATATGATTATTTATTTACAAAATATGATTCCATCGCTACATAAGAGAACTCTTATGTGGCGATGGAATCATATTTTTAAATAAATAATTATATTTAAACTCTACTTTTGTATCGAGCACTGTTTTTTCAAAAATAATAAAGAAAATACTAAAGAACTTTGGATTATTTACCTAACGAGTTCTTTCTATTTCCTATATTTTCTATACACACACACACACACACACACACACACACACACACACATATATATATATATATATATATATATATATATATATATATATATATATATATATATATATATACCTTGTATCATATGAGATTCTATGGTGCAATAGCTTTTAGTTATTTCATCAGCCATTTTCTATAGATATATATCCACACTCACTCACTCACTTGTGGAGTGGTGGGTAAGGACTAGGACTGAGTTCGAATTCCAGTCGAATCCATTACATTCACTTACGCTTTGGAAAAGTATTAATCCTCTTCTCTCTCCTCCAGGTATATGTAATTAGGAAGACAGACTGGGTTTCATCGCCATGGATGAGAAGGACAATTCTGAATTCAAATAGGTTGAAAGTTGTTTGGAGATGACATCCTGTTTAAGTTTGCTATGCGACGATAACGGCCACGGAATAGAAGACGCAGGTCATAAATTCGTAATGCGGTTCTATGACGTCGTAAATGAACACGAGAGAGAAAGAAATGTTATCAACAAAACCATATGTTTAAACGCATTGTAATATGTTGTGACTGGTTTGAAATATAATCTTGTTGATTTGATATCATCTTTGACGATGAACATTACTGTTGTAATGTCGATATAACAACTCTAATGATGTCTCATGTGAGCCGAAAGCTTAGATCGACAACCAATTTAATAAAGAGAATATCTTGATGTTGAAGACTTTTTGTCTTTATTTCTCTTGAAACTAAAGCCATTATATGAGACTTGGAAAGGGTCATGATAAAACATAATAGACATTCACACATTCACTGTCTTTTATATTTAACAACATATATATATATATATATATATATATATATATATATATATATATATATTCGTAAGTATGTGTTATCTTCATGAAAAATAGGGTCCCCGACCCGAGTTCAAAACCGAGCTTGTCTGTTACGTTCTCTATAACACAAATGCACTTGGGAAATACATTAATCACTCTCTTCTTCTGATGGGTTAAATTGCTGACTTGACTAGATTCTCTAGCCTTGGTTGTCAGCCTGTCTAGGTGAAGGACTATCTCACCCCTAAAATTAGGGCAGTTCACAAATAAAAAAAAAATAAATCTCTGGTGAGCGATGATTGCCTACATCTTGATATTTAAATTTCTTCTGAATTTTTTATATTCATTTTTTATATTATATATATATATATATATATATATATATATATATATATATATATATACAAATATAGATAACTAGACTCGATTCGAAAAACCCTCGAATTTTTGATTTGCTAATAATCAAATCAATCTCGAGGGAAAAAAGGTTTTTAAAAAAAGAAAGAGATACAAACATGAACTTCTGCCGACAAAAAAATCGCACAGATACAGATCTGATGCCCAAAGAAAAACCCTGATACGAGTAACCAACTAACTAACAAAAGCGCTCAATACAACCGTAGAGCAGACCTAGATACACCCAGAAAAAAGTGAGCCTAAACGGATCGTCAAGTCCTGTTTACGATCTGTTTTTCAAACCTTTTTGTCTGTAATATATATATATATATATATATATATATATATATATATATATATATATATATATATATATATATATATATATAATGTATATATATAATATATATATATATATATATATATGACTTTCCCTGACGATCTGTTTAGGTGAAACCTAGGTAGGTTTTTGGCTCACTAGATATATATATATATATATATATATATATATATATATATATATATATATATATATATATATATATATATATATATATATAATGTATATATATAATATATATATACGATCTTTCCTGACGATCCGTTTAGGTGAAACCTAGGTAGGTTTGTCTGGCTCACTAGAATATATATATATATATATATATATATATATATATATATATATATATATATATATATATATATATATATATATATATATATATATATATATATATATATATATATATATATATATATATATATATATATATATATATATATATATATATATATATATATATAAATTTGTGTATAATATTTCTATAATAACAAATGTGTGTAAAGAACTCGTGCTTACCTATAAACACCTGAGTATATATAGGTATGGACTCACAAAATCTCTGTGGATCCATTTATTTTAGATTTGTATGTATTATAGTTAAGAAATATGGTTCTTCTGTTTACATTTGTGTGTACCTGAAGTTATGTTGGCGATAACTACGTAATTGTATTGTTGTTGGGTACGGGTGGCTTACAGGTAAGATAGGTGTAAATTGGGTGGTTGAAACGAACAAGAATCACATGAAGCGGCGAGAAGAAGAAGAAGAAGAAGAAGAAGAGGAGGAGGAGGAGATTTGTGAAAGAGAAACGAGGATAAAAACGTAAGTGATGAAAAGAAGAAAAGGAAAAAAAAGAAGTTTATGAAGGAATCAAAAAGAAGCAGGCGAACGCTGATAAAACTAGTTTTCTATGCATTGACGTCATCGCTTGGTGGGTGATATGATCAATGATTGGTCACTTAGTGCTTTTTTTATTTCATTCAGTCAATACATGTTGACCCTGTCAAGATTGCTGTAGACGTTTTTGAGAGATCAGTGGTGGGAAAAAAAAGAAAGGAAAGATTGCTTTAAAAGAAAAAGTAAGAAAAAAACGAAATGAACGTGTAAATCACGAAAATGAAAATAAAAGAATATACAGAAATTATGTGTAGCTAAAGAAACATTCGGTTTTACCTCAGGGTTGAGCTAGTTGCATCCTTCTAGTACCAGGGATTGAGTGTTTCAAGCCTGTGTAAAATGTTATGATTTCGAATGAATTACAGAATAGGCAGTTTCCACACTTGAAAGATTGGCGATGGATAATGATGCTTGCCTTGCCTTTCCTGTTGTCGTGACATACCAACTGATTGCAACAATTATTGGTTACTAGCAGCATGGCCCGGCATTGCCCGTGCTTGATTCGAAAATCGTACGACTCATAGAGCAATCGCTATCACTTGACTTTAAATATTTTTGCCCTTCCTTGCCTTTAAAGAAGTTCCCTTTGCCGTGCTGATCTTGCTACATGCCTTACTTCTTGCCTATCTCACACTGCGAATTTTTTCTAAGCTCTATACTAAACATTAAATCTGTTACGAAAAAGAACTAAACAAAATGAACAAAAACGATCAGCTTTAAAAAGGACTCGTAACTGGAAAACCGAATGAAAAAAGAATGTTAACAACAAATACTTTTTACACCCAACCCAGTTCTGCGGAATCAGAATCAACGTTGAGTTTAAGCAAGTGAATGAGCCAATTGGAGTACAGTGCCACGCAGATTTAAATTTTTCTCACTTGTGACGAATGCAGCTATCGATTTTTTTTTTCTTGCTAGCATGCTAGTTAACTTTCGTGTCAGTCAGCTGTTGGCTCTCACGCTGGCCAATATAATCTTCCTGCCCATTCGTGGCAGCCAGCTATAGGCTCTCACTCTGGCCAGTAGAAAATGGCCGCAAACTACATGAAAACTGCCGTTGAAGCATGAAAAAATCGATTATTTCCACTATCCATGGCAGTTGGGTAATGCAAAGTCGGTCTTCGCCTTTCCGCTAAGTTGGAGCATGTGCATGCAAATTTTGGCGCAAATCCGTCGAAAATTGCGGCCGTGCATTCGTTACGCACACACACACATCCTGCCTTTTATAAATAGACATATCGTGAAACTGTTGATTTACATAATAAGGTAGAGCTAAAAAACGGACATTTCATATACAAATATATTAAAACAACGATAAGAGCTGCTGCCATATAGCCAGGGTAGTTGTTCCGCTGTGCTGTATGGTACTGCTTATAGTGACCATTTCTTGTTCGTATGTCTATGGGTCGCCACTTATGACTTTGGGTTCGATGTTGTAAATAGCGGACGATCCCTTTCTTTACACTGTTATCCACTTATCAATTAATAGTATATATATATATATATATATATATATATTATATATATATATATTATATTAAATATGTTTATAAATAATATAGTTTTGTTTATTTATTTATTTTAAGTAAATTCTTTTCATATTGTCGAATAAGCTTTTTAGCATTATCACTGAAACACGAAAGAAAAATCACCATGTTGATACATGTTTTTATTGTTAATCCTGTCTAAGCTTTCGGCTTACATATGTCATCATCAGAGATTACAAGAACATTACAATAAATTAAATAATAAATTATATAAAGAAAGATGGTAAGTTTTGTTTTAGAATGCTTATGCGGACATTGCAACAATGATAGTTTGTTTCGTTTGCATGGAAGATAGCTATGCAACGATAAATTCGTTCATATGAAACGTAGGAAGCAAATATCGCATTGCGGTTCATGCCATCACGTCGGAGTGAAAATGAAGAAAAGTGTTAAGTATGGAAAGCCATTGGTATAAACCAATAGCTTCTGTTATCAACTACTTTTGAAGTTTGTCCTGATTAAGTATATTTGTGAAGTTTTCATAGCTTATTTTGTTCAGGTTATGTTTCAACTGTTTTATGTAAATAGCTTCAAGAATTTTTAGGTTTTGTTTATTGTTTTCATGGTTAAGTATAATTGCATTTTCAACAAGGATTTTCCAGAATTTGTATGCGGCCAGGCGTGTTTTAAATGCCTAAAAATGTTGGAATTGTCATTGAAATGGAAAGTTAAGCGTCGTGAAAGCGCGTTTGTGGTGTGACCAACATAAATATTATTTAATCCGTTGGAGATACAATCTTCAAGAGGACATTTGAATTTGTAAACTATTGCGAATAATTAAGTTGGATATATGAGATTTAGTGTAGTATATGATTAACTTAATTTTTTGCTAAAATCTGTTGTAGATATATTAGTATTTACCAATTTTTTAGTATATTTTCATCTTGTTTATAATTAGTATGCATTTGATTGCGATATAGGAGATTAATATGTTTGGGATTAGTTGAAGGAGTATTATGTTCTATTTGCTTGGTATTGATATATATATATATATATATATAAGTAACGAAAATCTTGGCAATCCGTATGGATAATCCAAAGGGGGATGAAATCCTGAGAGCTCAATGTTAAGTCAGAGCGAATAATTTAATTTAAAAGAAAAACAGACCACTTTAAGGCTCCGTAGTAATAATTTATTTCACCAGAGAATTTCACTTTTTCTCTGGATCCTCAGACTTTACTTTCAAAGGCGAAACGAAAAAATGAATTTAAAATTTACACTTTTAACGGGCATTATTTACCTTATATAAGTTGAATTAGAAGGTGATGAGTAATGGTGTGAGAGACAATACGTAATATTGAGGAAGGAGCGGGTAAGGATCAGACATTGACCTATTTAATCAGCCAACTTAACGGAAATGATATGGGAAAAGGAAGAAAGAAGAAAAAAGGGAAAAAGAAAAAAGGGAGACGTATAGAAATGGGAGATCTGCGTATATATATATATATATATATATATATATATATATATATATATTCAATGGAATAAATTATGACCATGAAATATTAGTGTTTAAGCCTTTTTGTATTATATATATATATATATATATATATATATATATATATATATATATATATACGATCCCTTTACACTGTATGGATGGTCCTTTTTACTAGTATTTTTAAACTTAATTTCGGTTACTTTTCATCGCAGCTACTTGTCTCGATGGCGTAGAGAAAGGTTAATTACATAAGAAATCGTTAAACCTAATTAGCAACTTTTAAAACAGTATATTGTTTGGGGGGTGGCGTAATAGCAGGCTTTTCGGGATGAGAAAATGGAAAGACGAGTTCTATTTCATGTTCATTACATACGTTCAAATCCCGTTGGGAAAGGTCTTGGTTATCTAACCGCACTTGGCAACTAGTTTAGTATTAGGTTGGTGTCGTAATAATGTCGTTTTTTGACGTATTTTTTAACGTCAAAAAACGACATTATTACGTCATTATCTTTGCACCAACCTAATAGAAGTGCTCTCAAAACCTATGGAAATACCGTAAGCAAAGTCTTTTGAAATTGTGTAAGGATCTTGTAATGGATTATGTAAAGATTGCAAAATAGTTACAAATTTAATCATTTCACTCCAAGTAAGGTGGTTTGGTTTGTTTTGTTTTACGGCATATCAACCTCAATGGGTTATTTAATGCCGACAAAATTTTTATTGCTGGTAATGCTTTTTTTTTATCAAATGTATTGTTGGTAAAATTTTTTCCTTCAAAAATCTATTTCTGATAATATTTTTTCTTCAAAAATATTTTTTTTTTAAAAAATGTATAGCTGGTAATATTCTTTTTCAAAAATCTATTTCTGGTAATATTTTTTCTTCAAAAATATTTTTTTTCAAAAATGTATAGCTGGTAATATTCTTTTTCAAAAATCTATTTCTGGTAATATTTTTTCTTCAAAAATATTTTTTTTTCAAAAATGTATAGCTGGTAATATTCTTTTTCAAAAATCTATGTGGCACCATGCATAATTAGAAAACTGAAAAGAGATATTCATAAATATATGATTTGTTTTTTCGGTTTGTTAACCATTTGATAATTATTTAGAGCTGAAAAATATTTCGGGGTTAGGAATAATTCTTTCTTTACATTCAGGCGATCTGAGAGAAAGAAAGAAAAGAAGAAGAAAAGGAAGGAAAGAAAGGAGAAAAATAAATAATACGAAACCAGGTCGTAAGCGAAAACACACACGCTCGACTGGCACATATCAGATGTCAAAAATATCAGGTCAAGCACCTGACCTACTTCCGTGTCCGCGGAGGATGGAAGTTTGTTATAAATTTGGTTGAAGAAATAAAGTTTAGAGACAATGAAAAAAATATGATAGGTAACAGGTGGGAAGTTTATCTAAGGATATACAGACAATCCATTAATACGAGAACCCAGACAATTCCAGAATTGAAAATACAGTCACACAAGATGATGATTAGAAAATGCTTTTTTTTGAGATAATTAAGATTTTTGTTGTCAAGCCCGAGCGAAGGGAGAAAGTGAAATATTTTTATTAGTTCACGTTAACGCCACCCAGGGTGATGTCGCTTTTTGAGATAATACAGATTTTTATTATCGGCCGGAGGAGAATGAAATATTTTGTTGCGTTCAGAGAAACGCCGACAGGTCTAAGAAATCCCTTTCTTAGATCGTATCCAATTAGCGATAGGATGTTTGACAAATACCGCGTGTAAAAGAAACCGGGATCGTCATTTCGGTCACATACGAAAAGGGCAGTTTAAGTTTTTTTTTTTTAAGCAAGGTGTTCCCCCCCAGAACAAAGCCACGGATTGTCCACGCCCGATTAAAGACGTCACGAAGGAAGGAGGAAAGATACCGACCAGAATCTCATTGGCCGAAGGCGGCCACATGATACATGAGGGAGGAGGAGAGACACCCGACCAGGACCCCATTGGCCGAGAGCGGTCACATGATGTGCGAGGGAGGAGG